GCCCACATCCCGCCCCCCCCACCCTGTGCCAGCTGGTAAGCAGCAGCAGGACAGAGCCCCTGCTCCCAGTGCAAATGCAGACGTGGCAGCGCTGGGAGCGGAGGCTGTGCCATAGCATCACCTGGAGCAAGCCGCACCTACAACATTTCCCCCCAACCCCTGCCACGTGATAGCTGGGGAAGTGGCAGCAGGGCATAGCCCCCATGGCTCCCCCAGCTAGGGCAGAGGCAGGCACAGCTGGAGGAGCTGCAGGAGAAACCCCCATGGCTGCCCTGCCCAGCCCCATCCCCCACCTGGCCCAGTCTCCTGGCAGTTTAAAAAACAAAAAGAAAAGCGCCCCGCACTCATTGGCTCTGGCAGTGGCAATCGGTGGCCTCTGAGGGCTTGTGGCAGAGCCCCCCTGTGCAGCGTGGCGCAGTGGAAATAGCCCTCCCCCCCACTTGGCACCTGCGCAGCAGCTGCCTCGTGGTGCAGGTGCAGTGCAGCTCGGCAGGGTGCTGCACACTCTGGGAGCAACAGTCACCTGGAGCCCAGCAGCGCACAACCCCAGCTCAGACAGTTCGCTGCACCCTGCTGAGCCACGCTGCACCTGCACCATGGGGCAGCTGCCATGGGGGTGCCAGGCGGGGGTGGTGGTGATCCCTGCTGCCCCCACTGCCCCATGCTGTGCGGGTGCACTCTACCATAAGCCCTCCGAGGCCCCTGATTGCTGCTGCCAGAGCTGGTCAGTGTGGGGCTTTTTTTTAGTGCAGGGAGAATGGGCTGGGCGGGGGATGGGGCCGGGCAAAGCAGCCATAGGGGCTTCTCCCATGGCTCTCTCCGGACTGTCTGAATCTCTGAATCGGTGCCAAATCTGAAGCCGATTCGGCCAAATCAGTTCAGGGCAGTGATCCAAATCTCGGAAGTGAACCTCTGTCCTCCGAATCAGCCGAATCCAAATCAGATACCTCCCTATTTACACAGTACTGGAAGTCAGGATTACTTGAGTGCTGCTTCATCTTCTGCTGAGCATTCACCAGATTCTTGAGCTTCATGTCCTTTGCTGTAACTTATCTGCAAAATAGAGATAGTTCTTAGTGTACCCTCTTGGGGGGCTGTGTGGGTTGTTAGTGCTACATAATAGCTAAGCATTATTTTGCAAAGGTAATGAAGTGGTCACGACTGTAAATTATGTTATCAGCACTTTGATTCATTGAAAACCATTTATCTTTTTGCCTTCCAGAAATGGTCTTTGGGATTAATGGGAAAAGTTACCTTGCAAGAATAACTGTTATTAATATGTTGTCGTCTTTCATAGGCCAGCTTCTGCTCAGCTGTTTTCATAGCACTCCAAGCTGCTTATATTTTACTGTCTGCTTTTTGTTGTTTTTCTACCTTGCAGGTAAGACTGGTTTGGGGATGTGAACACAATGAGTGTAAACCAGCAAGCTCACTCAGGGCCTCCGTATGGGCAGCCTCAACCTGCATATCAGCGATACCAACAGCCTGGCTACGGAGGGCAGCAAATGCCTGGAGTTCCTCACTCTCAGTATGGAGTGTATAACGGCCCAGTGCCCGGACATCAGCAACCAGCACCTCCACAAGGTACTTCTTAATCGAGACCTAAGGATTGTGCAGCCTGTGATTTTTTTTTTTTTTTGATTTTTTTTTTTAAGTGCATAGAGTGCTTTTTCTAGAGGTGTTTATCCCCTGTTAGCGAAGTGCAGTGACATTATCTTTGGTTAATATAAAAAGTTCTATGTAGATTTTTTTGTAAGAAGCAATCAAAGATGAGTTGTATTGTTGCTGTGCATCCTTAGGGCATTGCTTTATTTCACTTCCTGGAAGCTAATTGTCCATTTCACTGGGGACAGATGTTTTTAAACATTTTGAAGGTTATGTTATTCCTTGTTTTTTCTACTTCCCTGGACACACACTCTGGGAACAGGTAAGCATGACAGTTTCCCTGCTGAAATTGGCTTGAGGGCAGTTAAAAGCTATAACACGCTTGCAGCTGAGGTTTGCTTCATTTATAGGTATAGAAAAGGTCTGTGAGATGCTCTCATCCTTCAGGGAGAGAAGTATGCAGGTGGCAGATGTGTAGTGGAGCTAGTTTCTCTGGTTTAATATTAAATACCCATGAAATGGCCAGTAGAGAAGTGGTCATTTTGTAATAATTTTAATAGTTCTCCTTTTAAAGGAATTCCTTCAATGCTGTATTTACTCAACTCTGAGATTAAGTCCCTTGTCCCCGTCTGTACCGTCCCCCAGTCATCATGAGGAGGGAGAAAAATCTTGTCTTAAATTTGAATACTGGCCCAGGGCAGGTGGCAGCTCTGCTCTGGTTTTGGCCCTGGGCTCAAGTTTGAAGCTGGAGCCAAGTTGTCACCTTGCCAAAATTGCTCATTTAGTGGGGAAGGGGGTGCATGGCCAGGCGGAGCAAAGGGGAGACTGCAGGACTGGGGGGAGGGGACCTGCAGCCTACTCACCCCACCTTCTGCCTCCTGCACCTCCCTGTTTTCCTCTCCCTTTCCGCCTTTTGCTCTGGCTCCAGTCCCTCTTGGCCAGGTACAGGCAGTTATTTCAGGTGGAGGGCCGCTTACTCAGTTTTGGCAAGCGGTCAAGGGCCACATAGTTAGCGGTGCCCCGCCCCTTGGTCACCACCTTGGGACCAATGTCTCGGGGCCCAAAGCAGGTTGCAGGCTGGCAGGGGTCTGTGGGGCCGGACTGGGCTGCACCAGCAGGGAGAGTAGGGAGCTGGCCTGGCTCCATAGAGCCCCTGCTGGCCGGCACCCTGTACTCCTGTTGCCCTGCCATGGGCCTTGCCAGCGCTGACCCCGGGACACTGGTATGGGACCCATGCACCTGTGTGAGCCTGGAGTCAGCGTGGGGCCCAGGCTGGCAGCGGGGACGGGTTACAAGCTGGTGCTGAGCGTGGGGGAATAGCGGCCCCTTGCCCGCCCCGTGCCCAGCGCTGCAGCCACTCGCAGCCCACGTGGGGCTGCCTATGCCTGCTCAGGACAGCCCCGCGCGGGATGTGAGTGGCTGCAGCAGGGAGTGCTGGCCACAGGGTGGGCAAGGGGCCGCTTTTCCCTGCGCTCCGCACCAGCTCCTTCCCTGTCCCCTGCACCAAGGCTCCACTCCCGCACTGTGGTCCCAGGCCAGAAGCCCCTGCTGGGGCTACCAGCTGGGGGAGCGGCCAGGCGGGCCTTGCTGTTGCAGGAGCCTGTTGGGCTTCCCCTGGGTCCTACTCTCCGTGGTTCTTGTCATTTTTGTCAGGAAACAAAGAGAAATATTAATTTTCAAAATTTTTAGGGGCCCTGTGGGCCGGATCTGGCTTACGGGCTGTATTTTGCCCACCCCTGCTCTAGGCAGTGGAGGGCATGTGGTAGGGGGTATGTGGCAGTATGGAGGCAGCAGGGGGTGGCAGGAACAAGCAGCCTGCCCTCTGCTGTCTGCCCTTTTCTCCTTGTTTCTCTCCTGTACCACTTCTGCCTCTCTGTAGCCTTCGGCTTCTTCTGGCTGCCTACCCTTGCCCCACTTAGCCTTGCTGTAGTGCCAGCAGGCTTTGTCCCCACTGCAGCTTGGGGCACAGAGCACAGTCTCAACCAGCCACGTAGCAGTGGTGCCAGCTCCACAGGCTGCAGCAGGGGACAGAGCTTGCTGGCACCAGAGCAAGGTTGAGCTGGAGTCTGGTAGGGGGAGGAGGGTAGAAGCAGCAAGAGGGAGGAGAGGTGGTAGGGGGTGCAAAGGAAGCAGCAGCTGTGGCCCTGTCCTCCCTCTTCCCCCCCCTTCCAACATGGGGGAATTCTTTCTCCATATTAAATAGGGGGGAAACCTTATTTTAGAATCAAGTAAATACAGTATTCCCAACTGTTGATGTCTGTGTTTATGAAGTGAAATGGAAAAGTATCATTCTGCCTGATACTATAAAAATGACTAAAACTATATAGAACTTCAAGCCCAGTAATGGATTGTTTATTTACCTTTCTCTGTTAGGGTCTGTTTTGATTTCCCTGGCAGTAACAATGTTAGTGTACTTTAGAGCTGAAGGAAATGCTAAGGAGTAGACTTAATTCTATGTGGAGCTTGATGTTTGAGAGTCATAAATTCAAACAGGCTCTGTCCAACCGTGCCTGACAACAGGTGTTGTCATATGGTTCATTGGTTGAATGAAATGAGCGTTTGTCTGGCAGATATTCTAATATAATAAAAGCTTTAGCTTTTAGTCTGTCTGTCTGTAATGCTTTATTCACACCCTAATTTGTTGTTTCAGTCAGCATTGTGATTGACTGCCAAGACAACCAATCAGAGTGCTCGGCACAGAGGCACAGCAGAGTGCCACCATGACATCGGGGACTGAGGGGCCAGAACAGGGTGGAGAGGCCAGTGGCCCTGCTCCTTGGAGGCAGTGGCAGCATGGGGTGCTGGCAGCTCAGCACTGACCTCGCTGTCGCGCCCCCGCCCCCCAGCTGCTCTGGCGCATGTGGCTGGATTTGGGGGTGGAGGGTGCACAAGGCCAGAGGTGGTGTGGTGACACTGGGGGGTGCTGGGTGGCTGTGCTCCATCTCCTCCCTATCCTTCCATCAGTCACATCAGGTGACAGTGGGGATGGACTGGGACAGTGGAGTGCTGTCATGATGGAGGGGATGGAGTGGGGGCGCAAGGCTAGGCCATCGTTCTCTTCTCCTCCTTCCCCCCC